CTGGTATTATTTACCTCTGGGATCAATACGTCGTCTTCCTTTAATTATGAGTTGGGAAGAACGTCGGGTAGAACCGGTCGGAGCCCATAGTGACTTCTGCTGATGCGCGGCCTCTGGCAGCTTCAATTACAAGGAATCTATTCATCTGCTGCTCCGACAGCTGGGGGAGTAAGAACAGAAACACACCGCTACCCAATCTCTGAAATCAACGCAGAGAAGTAGCAAAAAGATTGAACAAAGGACCTACACACAACTCTTTCCTCCTGTTCAGAGTAATCAATTTCAGGTTACAACTTTAACCATGACCTCTAATTCTTCAGCAAACAGTCGGTCCTATGGGCATGACATAAACAGTGAAAGCAATTTTGAAACAAAGATAGGAGAATGTTTACCTTGGAACAAATTTCCCATGTAGGGAGCCTGTGGCAGAGGTGCTATGCTTGAATGATTCCATTGTTGCTCAAAAACTCCTAGGGATTCTTCTTTCGGAACCAACTTTGGTGGCAATAGAACATCGTATGAAAGATCCATGGTGATAAATGATGACTATCTTTTTTTTCTTTTAACAGATTTTTGTATTGAGGTCATAATAGTTTATAACATTGTGAAATTTCAGTTGTACATTGTTATTTGTCAATCGCCATATAGATGCGCCCCTTCACCCCTTGTGCCCACTCCCCAGCCCCCTTCCCCCTGGTAACCACTAAACTGTTCTCTCTGTCCAGGTGTTAGTTTATCTTCCACATTTGAATGAAATCATACGGTGTTTGTCTTTCTCTGTCTTATTTCGCTTAACATAATACCCTCCAGGTCCATCCATGTTGTTGAGAATGGGACGATTTTGTCTTTCTTTGTGGCTGAGTAGTATTCCATTGAATATATATACCAAAATGATGTATATCTTTTGAGGGTATATTTGCTTTTGGGAAACAATTGAGAATCACCCAGAAATGAGCTGGGTGAATGAAATGGATGCTTAGACTGATTGATACCACCTGGGTGTCAAAAATAAAGTGTGATCTCATAAAGGAGCCAAATTAGTGTGTGTGTGTGTGTGTGTGTGTGTGTGTGTCCTTGAAGGTAATTCCAAAAGAAGAATTTATGAATGTTTGATAAATGTTTATAAATGTCTGATCAAGATATATATTTTAGGAAAATTTATATGACTCTATGGTAGAGAGAGGGTGATTATTTTGAAGGTCAGCATTCATCTGGATTTGTAAGTTTTGGAACATTCATTTAATGTCAGTTTTTTTTTTTTTCCTGATTCAGTAAAGAAAATTGGTCACAATTAACAGAGTACCAGATGAAATAGATGTTAATTTCTCTCTCATGTAAATTCTGCAGGACGGGCTGGGGGTCTGCTCCATGAAATCCTCAGCAACCAGCTTCATTCTAGGTCATTGCTCTGCCATCTCTGGGACATATCCCTCATTCTCTAGGCCTTACTTTAGCCATCGCATCCACATTCTGGGCAGCATAATGGAGTAAGGGAATAAGAAGAGACACAAGTTACTAGAATTCTAGCATTCTATGCAGGAAGATTCCTAGAAGCTGTCCTGTAAGCACCACTCACATCTAATTGGCCAGAACCTTGTCACATGGCCATACCTAGCTGAAAAGGAGGCTGGGAAATGTAGTCTTTATCCCAGGCAGCCATGTGCCCAGATAAAGGCAGGAGTTCTATTACTACGGAAGTGCCTGAGAGCAAACATTAGGATTGACAACTAGTGGTCTATGCCACAATTACCTTTACTGGTATCTTACATTTCAGTGAGCTTAAAGGACACAACAATATAGCTTGGCACAAAACCCTCTTAACAGAAATAATAATTTTAGTTCTACTCATATATCATTTCACAACCATTAAACAAGGAACTGTACCATGTGCATTGTATATACATATTATTTTATTTAATCCACTTAACAGCCTATATAACACATACTATTATGCCCATTTAACAGACGAGAAAACAGATTTAGAGATGTAAAAATCCCAGGTTGCCTGAGATCACATGGCTAGAACATGGCCGAGTCAGAGTTGAACTCAAAACCACCCACCTCCAGAGCCTAGGCCCTCACCCCACCGGTGTTCCCCTAAAGGGAAAAATCTTGGAGTCAGTCTTCTACTAGGAGTCTGGGACCTAAACATTAGTAGAGTTTGGAGGAACGCCAAAACTGAGGTTTATTGGTTTTCACTCAACAAAACTGAGGTGCCTCCCGTGAGTAGGGAGTATTTTGATTGGAGTGGTTTGTCATTTCCAAGGTAGGATGAGAAATACCTCAATGTGACGTGAAGCCCAATCATTCCATCCAGAGCCTTCTCTCGTCCATCCATTGTGGATGCCTAATCCTCCTCATTCCACCAGCATGGACTTGGAAAGGAAAGAAGGAAAGAGGGGTGAGAGGGAAGGAGAAGGAAGGGGAGTTTCCCACGGCTGGTGCTGTCCAGTCTGGTGCTGGTTGTTGTAAAAACAAGCCCACAGATGTTTAAACATTTCTAATGCTGGGGAATGACAGCTCTTGCCCTTGGAACAAAATGTTCTCTCCAAGCACTTAGGCTGAACCTTCAGTGGGAAGAGGAAAAAGAACCCTGTTTTCTTGGCTGCCTGTTTTAACAGAACATGATGAAAGAGAATTTAGTACAGGAAATGGCTAGTGGCGACTGATCGCCTTTCTGATCTGACAAAATTCAAATTTCACTTCTCTGTAGACACTGTGTTCTGTGAAAGGTGTTGTCTCATTTCCTGCTCAATATCTGGGGATAATGACCAAAGGCTGAAGCAGACAAGTGTGAGTCTGGGAGAAGGAGAGGGGCTGTCTCAACTACTCAATTTTTTTTTTGCTGAAGAAGATGGGCCCTGAGCTAACATCTGTGCCAATCTTTCTCTATTTTGTATATGGGTCGCTGCTGCAGCATGGCTGATGAGTGGTATATGTCCACGTCCAGGATCCGAACCTGCAAACCCAGGCCACCGAAGCAGAGCATGCCAAACTTAACCACTAGGCCACCAAGCCGGCCCGTCAACTGCTAAATTTTTGAAGCTGTTTCCTTAGAGGCCCTGACACAACTTATCTAGGCGCTAAAGACCTCAAACCCTGTATTTATGTTTATGAAGGAAAAAGAGCATTAGTGTCTGCAGAAATCTAAAACACCCTTACAGAATAAAATCCCAAACAAATTTTCTAAAATTATATACACTGTCATACTTGGAGGGTTATACGATAAATTGTGACTCTGTGACGGAGTTGAGCTGAAGCAGGATTGTGGAATAACGCACAGTGAGCGGGCAAGGAATGCTGAGAAAGCCAGAAGCTTCTTTTAAACGTTCTTAGTCTTAGGACAGACAGTAACAATCTCATTTCCTATTTCCCAGGAGCCCATATGTCCCTTAAACAGTTCAACACTCTAGGGCGCCACCATCAGTTTCTCAGTTCAGGGACAGGAAAGAGAGAGGATGTGAGAGCCAGCCTGGGGGTCTTTGTCCTCCTTGCCTCTCTGGACGGGGAAGGCCAAGTTGCTGATGGCTCACAAGGTGTTGGGAGCTCTGATCCCTTTCACAAGTCCTGCATCTTGTCCTTCTACCCTGTTTTTGAAGCTGTCAGGGTCTAAGATCAACTCCCACAAGCCTTCAGTTTCTCCCTCTACCCGTCTGGGGTCATAGACGGAAGAGATGACACCCTTTATTCAAATACCATTATTTACCCCCAGGGCCTCCACCTCCATCACTATGTGGCTGACTCCAAATCTCTAACACCCTTTGCATTCATTCAATCATTCGTTCATTCATTTGTTCATTTCCTCATCCATTCGTTTACCCTAAACATCTTTTTGTTTGAACACAACACAACACAACACAACACAACAGAAGTCCTGCAGGAGTTCAGAGGAGGGGGTTGGGGGAGGAGAGTGCAGGTAAGGGCGTCAGGGATTTCTGGTGTGTGGGGTGGACTCCCTCTGAATCTTTAACAGCCCCTAGCAGAGCCTGACTCACATAGGTGCTTAGTAAATACCTGCGGGACTACCACCCTTCAGCAGCTACCTTTGGTCACACACGTAGGTGTCTAGCGTATCCCGGTTTGGGGCATCTTGTTCCATTGTCGTGAGTGTATCCGGGATCAGATACTTGCAGACACTACCTATGAGCCTGGCGCTCTGTGCCCATAGCCATAGATAATCTCCAAGAAAAACTACCATATTGCAGCAGGTCCCTAGCAACTTGCTGAATGTTCCAGAACTGGAGCCCTGGAGAAAGGCACCTCCTGACCTGCCAGGTTCTACCTAGGGCCCAGAGAGGCTAAGCATGTTTCCTGGTTTCCCCCGCACCTTCAGCCTCTGGTCACAAACACAGCCACAGTGGTGGCTGCAAGAGTGCTTTTCCCTCCTGCCACTGCCCCCTAGCTGGGCCTGTGCCCCTGAGGAGAGGGAGCCGCTCTTTCCACGTCACCGAGCAGGCGGGAGTCGGTTAGCAACTCCGCAGTGGGAGCGGCCTCGTCCTTCCACGGGGAGCACTGAGGCGCAGTGGTCTAGTGTACATTCTCCTATGTCTCTAACTCTTGGGGTCTCTGGAGCTGCCCCTCATGAGGCTGGTCACCAAAGGCATCTGCAGCCCTCTCAGGGGACGGGAGACTGTCCTGTGACGCGGAGCTGCCCACAACCCATTCTCCTCCCTCCCAGGGAGTACGGGAGGGAGGGGAGCAGCTGCAAAAGCAAATGCGTGGGGTGCCACCCAAGTTCATTTACTGTTTTTCCCTCAACCACCACCTAACTGACCCAGCAGCTAGCTGCTCTGGGAGAAAGCCCCTTCTCTGCTGCCTGGTTCCTTCCCAAGCTTCCTGCTAATGGAAACATCTTCCTAGTGGTCACAGCTGAGAGGCTGGAAGAAGAGAGAACATGTGTGCTCAGGGCCCTATTTCCACAGCACTCGGGCCCTTATTTCCCTCACTGTGGGGTTAGGCGACATCACGCTGACACTGAGACGCAGCTCTCCCTCCCGCAGATTCCATCGTCATTGTCTTCTGGGTGAGCCTGGCTGCTTTCGTGGTGCTTCTCTTCCTCATCCTGCTCTACATGTCCTGGTCAGGCTCCCCACAGACGAGGTAAGTGAGGAGGGTGGGGATGGAGGTCACTCACATGGTTAAATAGTGAGTAATCATGTGTCCACACAGTGGAATATTATTTGGCCATAAAAAGGAACGAAGCACTCATTCATGCTAGCACGTGGAGGAACCTCAAAAACATGGTGCTGTGTGAAAGAATCCAGACACAGAAGGCACCACGTTGTGTGATTCTATTGATGTGAAACGTCTGGAACAGGCAAATCTCTAGAGACAGATTAGAAGTTGCTAATGGGTACTGGGTTTCTTTCTGGGATGATGAAAATAGTCTAAAATAGATTGTGGTGATGGTTGCACAATTCTACAAATATATTGAAGCTCAGTGAATTTTTGCCTTTTAAATGGGTGAACTTTATTGTATGTAAAGTATGTCTTGATCAAGCTATTAAAGAAAGTAAAGCCAAAAGGACCCTACATTTCCCTTAGGTTTTGCCAAACACTTCACTGGGAAAATGGGACCCTAATTGAGTTATCTATGGCCACCATCTGGTATTGAATGCCTACTGTGTGCCTTAGTGGTCAAACTGGACGTAAAATCCAAGAGGTAATTAGAGCCTAGCTCACTATATGTTAATTCTCTTCTGCTAGACAGTTGGCCCACCACATCCAATTTTCCCTTCTGGCTTAATCTACCCCCACGGCTACTGCTCTCCTAATGACTGTTCTTACAAGGGATCCTATGCTGCCTCTCTCCCTGCCGTAGCTGATGGGACCAGGGATGGGCAACTGACCCACAGAGGGCCTGTCCAGGGCTGGCCAATGCCCTTTGAAACGTGTGGCCTGGCAGGAGAGCTGGGCCCAGGTAGCAGTTAGGGGTCCAGGAGGAAGACTGGGGCTGGACGCCATCATGGACCAAGACGTCTTGGGGAGAGGAAACCCTGTCAGCATAGGAAGCTGGGAGCAGAGAGATGAGCAGAGCTATGCTGAGAGAGGAAGGGATGGAGGGCCTTCTCAAACAACCAGAGCGCGCAACCCCTGCCCCTGATGGAGTCCCACTGCCGGTTCCTGCGAGGACCTGTGCGTCTGTGCATGTACAGACCTGCCCGGACGGGCCTCTGTTTCTTCCACCCCTTCCCCCACCCTCCCGGCCCCTAGTGTCTCATCCACCAGGTCTACCCTCACCAGGTCATTTCCGATTCCCTTTGGTCACACACAGAGGCAGGGACTAGCTTTGGAGCAATGAAGAAATCCACTCTTCTCTTTCCATTTTTAGAAATGACAATGAATTTAAGCAGATTTTTACCCCCAAGAGGACCTGGGGGAATAAACTAGTGAAATCACCTTTCTTTTCTACTCTTCTGAGGTGACTTGTAGCAAGCCCTGTGCTAGGGACAGTTTGCAAAGATGGTCAGTTATCCTCCCCGTGGAAAGTTCCCCAGTCCAGTGGGGACACAGGGGCACACAGGCGGCCATGGATGAAGGGGCTTGTGCGTTTTCTGGGCTATAATTTTACAGGGCAAACTGGTGACACTGTTCATCCTCACTGGCCTCATGGCTCACTAGAGAAAATCCTCTCTAGGTACTCTGTAACGAACACGGAAGGCTCAGGGCAGCCAAATGGATCCTTAGTAAGATTTAGGAAAGAGAATGCCACGTTTCGCCCCAAGGAGTCACTCTTTCTGTGATTTAAAAAAAAAACGATTATGCTAGCATCGTCTGAAAGGAGGGTTCTGCTCCCTCAGGCTCCCTCCCTGGCCCTCTTCATTCACATTAGAATTATAACCACATCTACACTAGTTCTCCAGCGGAGACAGCTATCAACACCTCTCCCCATTTCATCCCAAGGAGAACTATGAGGCAATTATCACCCCATTTTATTGATGAAACTGAAGGCAGGCGGGACGGGAGGGGCCCAGCTCACGCCAGGCGGCTGTGTCCACTGCCCCCAGCCCTCCAGTGCAGGCGAGTCTATCCAGAGAGGAGAGACTTCTGGCTAAGATACAAGCTGGCTTGAGGTACAGAAACGAGATGAGCTATACTCAAACACATGGAGGGATGGAAGGTCAGCCTGGCCCCTTCCCCACTCTAAGTGGACATATGAGGGAGAATTGACCTCGGAGGGAAAGACCCGGGGTCTAGGTCACCATCAACACTTCCTCTTTTCTGCCATTTCTCCACAACAGTGACCTAAGTGAGCTGGGCTGACCCTCCCCCGGGGTCTGCTCTCCTGGCAGAGGTGCTCTCACTCTGGGGCTCCTTCTCTACGGGTTTTGGAGAGGCAGGAGGCTGCGACAAGAAAGCCCCCAGGAAAGACTCTTCTCTGGGCGGCTTTGATGTCTGCCTTCTTCCATCTTCTCTGTCCACAGGAACACCACCCAGCACGACCCAATATGTCCCTGGAGTCACGGCCTCAACCTTCCCCTCTGTGTCTGGAGGCACCCACCGCGCCACAGGGCTCCCCAGGGGACCCCGCCGGCTCCACCGAGCTCAGTTGAGGAACCATGGAGCAGAGCATCTGGGCCCGACCAGCAGCTGCAGCCGGAGAGCCCCTCTGCCTCACCCCCCACAGACCCCCAGGCTCACCCTGCCCTCCTCTGGGAACTGGCCCTCGATGGGGACCCCCACAGCATCAGCTGACGTCAGGAACGAGCCTAGCGAGCCTCCCCATGGAGACAAACCCTCCAGATTGTAGAACTGACACCAGCAAACCGTAGCCATTGTCGAGTGAGCCAGTGAACTCAAACCAACCTGGACACACAGGTGCCTTCTGAGAGCCTGTTCACACCTAGGAAGTGTGACCAGATGAAGAACGACTCTACCAGGAGGCACATAATATGCATTTCTCCAAGGACGGCAATCGCCCATCCATCTGGCATTGGGAAGTAGTCCCCAATATTGCTCATGTTATTTAGTGCACTTATCTGCTTACTTACTGCTTATGTTTGCTTTGGGAAGGGTAGAAAAATAAAACATATGAATTAAGATTAAAAAATATTCGCTCACTCATCTTTACTGTGCCACTTTTTAGCTTCAACTCTTACTGCTGTAATATTTTGTCAACCTTGAGTTCTCTGGGCTGATCTGGACCTTTTTGATGACGCCCAGGGAAGGCCTGTGAAGTTCCCATCCATCTTCCACTGATGGCCCACTCTTACCCATGGGGAAGTGTGTGCCCAGCCAGGCCAGCTGACTGCAGTCAGGGCCCCGAGTCACACTACTGACCTTTCCAAAGCTTTTCAAAGGCAGAGCGTCTCCCTTGGAAGGAGCAGCCAGGCCCAGCCGGCAGGGCCTATGCCCAAAGGGAGAGAATCCGCCTCCAAATGTTATCGCAGAACACCTCTAAGCTGGCAGGAAGGGTCCCATCTGGAAGGTGACTTTATGCAACCTCTGATCTGAGACCCCCGAAGGATCTGGTCCTCTAGTGCCCAGCAGCCTGCCCCTGGCAGGGAGACAGCATCACACTACAAAGTCCATAAAAGCCACCCACCCCAGGCGACTGAGAAAAGAATCCCCCACAGTGAGGGCTGGGCGTGGCCTCGCCAGACTCTGGCTGTGAGTTAGGAGGGCAGACGGGGAGGGGAGACCGGAGGGGAGACCGCTGAGCTCCAGAGATGCGGAAAAGGGGCAAGAAAGGAACATGGAGCTTTTCCAACTTGAATCAGCGTAGGAGTCTGACTTCAGAATACTCTCAAAGACCAGTGTTGTGGGTGTTTTGGGCGGGGGATAGGGGAGGTAAATGCTCCTTGCTTTCTAGACAAGAGGCCCTATTTGTGGTGAGGGACTAGATGTGGATCAGCATTACTCTTGTCTTGGTTAAAAATCTTATCATCGAAAAACCAGAAAACAGTCTAAAGAGTTGTTTATAAACAGGTGTATAAAAGTGTAAACGGTTAAGCTGAAACCAAGCCATTCTTGGTGCTGTGTATATTACAAGGGCAAAGCAGCAGCCGCCTCCCAGGGGACAGACGGAACGCTGCATGCCGACAGGTGACAACGGCCCAGCAGACCCCGGGTGCAGAGGTGCGCAGAGGGATGTGGGAACATGGAGAGCTTTAACGAACAGGCTAGAATTTTACCTTTGAAACCCAGGAGCTTTCATACTCAACATTTGTCAGCTATGGCACCAATTAATACAGGAATCTTACAAGTCAAATCCTGACCTCTAAATGCAGGTCTCTATGGAATAAAAACAGACTGCTAACATCAATTAAGCAAGACACAAAAACCTAACAAAAATAGACATTTATTAACAAGAAGTTATAAAATTCAAAATCCCCTCTTTGAAACACAACTTTGAAAAATACAAGCTGCCTTCCCAAAGCAGAGGTCAAATCAATTTTATACTTCAAGGATTTAGTGTAACATCCTTTCATTTAACAAAATAATTAACAAACACTGGCAGGAGCTTATTTATTCAAAAAGTTATACAAAGCTTTGTTGTGACTTCTTATAGAAAGAAAACTTTAAACAGCTCTCTTCATGCTCTTATATCTGATATACTTTTTATCATTTCAGCTTTAATATCCATGAATCCCTTAAGCACTCAGAAGTGCGACCTCACCCTGAGGTACTTCCTTTGAAGAACAACGGACCCCTGAGAGGAAGGGTCTTGCCTGACTGAACAATGAACGGGCCTTGCAGGCCCAAAGGACCCCACGCCCACTTATAACTCTGACCACTTCGTACACACAGTCCCTTGAGTTTATTACTTATTGGTCAATTAAATAAAGTCAAAATAAATTCTTCTTGTCAGGAAACTGAGTCAATACACAGAATCTGTCATTTCACGTCTTCCATGGAAACCCTCAACTCAACCAAACTTCTAGAACCCAGTGCTGGAGGCGCCAGACGGCAGGGCGTCAAGCGTCTGGGGCTGAGGCAGCAATGTCCTTGCAGAGCATGACAACGGCTTCCTCGTCACCACTTAGCTCATCCTCTGAGGTGTCACGGATCATCCGGACGTGGGCTAAGAGGGTGTCCGGCCGCTGGGCCCCCAGCCAGACGTCCTTAATGTACAGAGACACCAAGAATGCCCCAGTGGCTGAGGAGGAGGAGACAACAAGGCCATTAGGACACAGATCTATTCAGCCAAAAAATAAGTCACCCGCCCACACGCACAGGGGCTTTGCTAAGCACCCACAGGAACCGCACCACATACCTGTGGCGACAGGAGCTGAGCATGCGGATAAAACAAATTAATTTTGCCTTTCCTTAACTTTTGGGTTATTTTTTTGTTCATTTTAAAATTTATCTTTTTATTTGATGAATGTATGTGGAATGTAAAAGTTACTACAAGCCAAGTCTCTTCCTGGTTCTGACCACCCATGCCCAGAACTAGAACTGAAGTTGGGGCAGAGCTTCCCGGAATCACGCACACCATTTCCTCAGTGGCCCGGGCGAGGAGAAGAGAAGGTTTTACAGGCAGAGATTCGATTCCCTGACTGCAGCCAGATGAGAGACAAGTCACCCTTGTTACCAGGAGAGTTCACCTAACCGGGCTGCTGGCCCATCCCCTCCCGGCTCCCCTTACGTCTCTGGGTGAAAGGGACAACCCTCCCAGATGGAGGAAGCCACGGGCACATGGTCACAGCCTCCCTTGTGTTCTCTTACAGCCTGTTAAAGCCTGTGCCATTCATTCATTCATGCATTCAAACTTTTATTAAGCACCAGCTGAATGCCAAGCACATAAACTCTGTGTATTTGTGTGCTTGTGTGTATATATATCAGCGTGTGCATATACACACACGTGTGCAACACATCTGGCCACAACGTGAAACATAATTCTCCACTTCGGTAACTGCAGAAACAGGAGAGCGACTGCTCTGCAGGGTGGGAGAGTCCCGGGGGACCCGGGATTCTGAGGCGGGCACCTTGCTCCACTGTAAACACGATCATCACTCAAGGTTTCACCTGAGAGCAAAGGCAGAGATTTCCTCTCCCTTCACATTCGGGCCCAGTGGCAAACTCTCTACGACCCCCGGAGCTGCGGTAAGAGACCACGTAACCACTTCATCAGAAGTGCCCAACAGGATCTGAGGAACAGAAGCTGCTCCCCACCCCCCAAGCCCACTCATGCATTTCTTCAGCCTCTGACCCAAGAACCAGCTTACCTCGCGTGGCTTCATCCTCCTCATTCAGAGAAGAGAGGCAGAGGGCCTCGACGGCCTGGTAGAAGGGGCTCCCTGCCAGGCCCTGGGCTGCCACCAACTGCAGCATGACCGTGTTGAACAGGCAGGCCACGCCCTGCTCGAGCCCCACCAGCCTCTCGGCCCCGCAGAGCCGGCTGTACAGCTTAAATATGCCGCTCCTCACGGCACTGTCCTTAAGTAGCTCAGCCACGACCACTGGCTGTGGCAAAATGTGGCTCTTAAGCCAGCCAAGGAGTCCTGAAGCCTCTGCCCTGCTGAGAGGGTGCTCGGCCGCTGACCGCAGCACCCAGCTGACCACCAGGGAAGCAGTGGCGTACACAGGGCCTGGTGCATCGCTCTTGGGGGTGGCTGAGTCCTCGGGCTCCTGAGCGGCTTTGGGGTCGGGGAACACTGGCCCCCAGTGGGTCAATATGGATCTCAGGAGGCCCTTGCACGTCTCCAAGCTGGATGCCTCCAGCTCGGGGTCGGCTGCCTCCTCTGCCTCCCCAAGCCTCCTCTTCCGGCCCCGTGGGCCCTTGACTCGAGCTGGCATGGCAGGCTTGTTCTTATCCTTGAGCATTTCTGTTATCCACAGAGAGAAGGGCAGTGAGACCAGTGTTCCCCCTCCCCACACAGCTCCCGATGGGGTGACACAGAGAGGGGAGGGGGCAGCCTCCAGGCCCCGAGCGCTCAGTGCTGCTCCAACAGGACACGCTCTATGCCTGGAGCACAGTGAGTGCTCAGTAGGACTGTGACTGTCACTGCTGTTATAATTAACTCACTTACTCCTCAGCACAACCAAAGCCACCGCCCCCCCATCACAGGTGAGCACCCTGACATGGCAGAGCTGGAACTCAAGCCAGGGCTCCCCAGCTCCCTCCAGAGCATGGGCATGGACAGGCCCCTCTCTGAGCCTCATCAGCCTTGGAAAGGCTGCTCAGAGGGAAAGACGCTGCCACTCTGGGTGGAACTGAGCCGCCAGGGAACACGCGACACTCACTCAGCAGCTCCTTGACTTGGTACTTCTCAACGGCTGCTCTCAGGTCCTCCTGGAGCTGGACGTCTCTCTCGATGAGGCTCCACTTGTGCAGGAGCATGAGGACATCCTTGGTGGACAGCACCGCCTCGTTCACGGTGAAGCGGCGCATGGCCTTGAAGGCCTGCATGACGGTGGCCCTGTACCTCAGCACGGAGCCAAGCGCCTCGAAGAAGCTAGTCAGCTGGGCGGAGGCCAGGGCGGGCCTGTTGGGAGCCAACATCACCGACTCAACAAAAGCTGCCTCCTCGGCCTGCAGCTCAAGACTCGGGCGGCCGGTCAACGCCACAGACCCAGAGGTGCAAAGAGTCCATCCCAGACCCACATTTCACTTTATAGCAGACAGGGAGCGTGGACGCCCAGCACACAGAACAGGAAAAAGCGAGCCACTCCAGGGGAGGCAAACAGGAGACGGGAGTCTGACCTCCATCCTGGAGGCAGGGAAATCTCTTTAGAAACCACAGCTAAGCAGG